GAGTGCAGAGAACCCCAAACAAAAGGAATCCAAAGAGGACAACACCAAGACACATCATAATTAAAATGCCAAGAGCAAAAGACAAAGAGAGAATCTTAAAAGCAGCAAGAGAAAGAAACTCAGTTACCTACAAGGGAATACCCATACGACTATCAGCTGATTTCTCAACAGAAACTTTGCAGGCCAGAAGGGAATGGCAAGAAATTTTCAAAGTGATGAATACCAAGAACCTACAACCAAGATTACTTTATCCAGCAATGCTATCATTCAGAAGTGAGAGTCAGATAATGAGCTTCACAGATAAGGAAAAGCTAAAGGAGTTCATCACCATCAAACCAGTATTATCTGAAATGCTGAAAGGTATCCTTTAAGAAGAGGAAGAAGAAGAAAAAGGTAAAGATACAAATTATGAACAACAAATACACATCTATCAACAAGTGAATCTGAAAATCAAGTGAATAATCTGATGAACAGAAAAAAATAAAATAAAATAAACTTTCTTTGGCCTATCCGGTTTTGCTCAGTGGTTAGAGCGTCAGCCCTTGGACTTAGGGGTCCTAAGTTCGATTCCAGTCAAGGGCACGTTCCTTGGTTGCAGGCTTGACCCCTGGCCCTGGTCGGGTGCATGCAGGAGGCAACCAATCCATGTTTCTCTCTCTGTCTCTCCCCCTCCCTCTACTCTGTCTGAAAATCAATGGAGCCCAGCCAGCGCAGTTGATCATTAAGCTATGAACCAGAAGGTCACAGTTCAATTCCTGGTCAGGGCACATGCCCAGGTTTCAGCCCAATCTCCGGTAGGGGGCATGCAGGAGGCAGCCAAGCAATGATTCTCTCTCATCATTGATGTTTCTATCTCTCTCCCTCCTTTCCTCTCTGAAATCAATAAAAATAAACTTATTTTGAAACTAGGTTAATAAAAAAGGAAGACCTAATCATATTTCCTGCCTTCCTGGTAGGAAATGTATTCCAGAGTCACCAAATAGCCCCAGCTAATGAGGAAGAAGAGCTCATCTTTAGCAGAGTGCCAATTAATAAGTGTAGGAAAAAATGATAAAATTAGAAAAATATTATCTCATTAACTCTAGTAAAATTATTATACATTCAGAGGAGGCCCAAAGGTACAAACTTCCTGTACTAGAGGACAAAATGATGATGTTATGAAAAAGAAATCTATAAAATCCAAACAAACTTCCTGTTGTAAAATGTCATAGGAATGTAATGTACAGCATGGTGAATATAGTTAATAATACTGTATTGCATATCTGAAAGTTGCTAAGATTAGATCTTAAAAGTTCTCCCACAAGAAAATAAATTTCTGTAACCATGTATGGTTATTGATGTCAACCAGACTTATGGTGATCATTTCACTATCGAATCATTATGTGGTATACTTGAAACTAATATGCTATGTCAATTATACCTCAATTTAAAAAAACTGTTACCAGATAAGAGTTATCAATTGAGACTAACAACTATTAGAGTGATATGAACTGGTCATTCATATAATGCCAAAGTAACATCATTTAGATTACATTCTAGTCACAAGGGGGAATGAAACCTAACTGTACAAATAAGGACGAGACTATTATCTCTCTAATCCTGAGATCAATCCATTATCACTAATGACAGAACCAGAGAGAGGTTTCCTAAATGTGAAATAAGACAGCATCACCTTTTACTCAAGTCAAAAACCTAGTTTAGAAAAAATATAAAGAATAAAGGACAAAATAATGATGTTATGACAAAGAAATCTGTAAAATCCAAAAAGTGAGACATTCTGCAGAAAAAAAAGTCATGTCATTAATAAAAGGGGCTGTTCTAGATTGTAAGAGACTGAAGGGCAATAACTACCAGATGCAATCCTAGATTGGATACTGGTTTGAGCAAAATTAGCTGTAAAGGATAGTTTGGGTCAACTAGGAAAATTTAAATATAATTTAGAGTATAAGATAAAATTTACTGAGTGGTAAAAAGGAGATGATTGGAAAAACAGATTAACAAAAGAATATGCACAGTATAAACTCATTTTGGGGGAAAAAAGTGTGTGTAAATGCAGAGAAAAAAGTTGGAAGGATATATACTAAAATTTTACAAAGGTGATCTCTGACTGGTGGGAATGCGAGGCTCCTATTTTTTATTTTTGCTTATCTGCATTTTCCAATTTTTTACAAAGCACATGTACTCTTTTTGCAATAATGTTACTTGAAAAAAATAACAGTATGGCATTGTTTAGCAAAAAAAGCAACCTGCCAAGAGACACAATATCTTTAATGGAGACAAAATGATATTATACATTTCATCATCGTATACATAGCATATATATTATGCTATATATGAGTAAGAGATAGTGAAAGAAGAGCAAGCATAGGAAAAGATTTGGAAGGAAATACACTAAGGGAAGGAGAATGAGATTGTGGGTAGTGGTCATGGGTCTTTAGTTTTATGAGTAATGTTTTAATTTTGTGAATGTATTCATGAATTCAGGTATAATTGTTTAAAATATTAAGAAGTGGGAAGATGATTCTGAGAGTACTGACACATGTTTCCACAGTCCATGTGCCAATAATCATAAAATAAAATAAAAGCCATCTTATTGGTGGCTTTCAATCAACACTAGAAAGCTTAGCCTTGACTAAGCAGGAAATTAAATGATATAACATGCCTAAAACCCATCACTCCTGTAAAATTTAAGAAGTCATAAATACTATTTTAAATAATATTTTACTTATATAGTAAAGCGCCTGATGGCAAAGCTTCTAAGCCAAATTTCATCTGCCTTTAATTATCAGTATAAACTTGGTGAGAGGATAGGTAGGGCTTATGAAGTTGGGCTCAACAGTAAATAGGAGCAAGTACTTTGTGACTCTATTTTCTAACAGAAATAGCTTATGTCTAGATGACTAAGGCCATGAGGTACAGAGCTGCCTTGGTTTAAGCAGTCTCTGTTATGTAAGAGCTCACAACATGTGCTAGTTTATTTGCTACTTTAGTTGCAGATACTGGTTTTCACTTTGACATTCATAATAGCTATACAGATCCTCAAGGGTCCTAATATACTCATACCTACCAAGATTTCCCTCAAAACTCTCCTCTAGCCCAGCTGGTATGCACAAAGAGGTCACCGAATGATTCCCGGTCAGGGCACATGCCTGGGTTGCAGCCTCAATCCCCAGCAGGAGGCAGCCGATTGATGTCCTCATCAATGTTTCTATCTCTCTCCCTTCCTCTCTCTAAAATCAATAAAAAATATATCTTAAAAAAGCTCTCTCCTTTAATATGATTTGGCTGTCATCAAAATTCACCACCAAGTAAAAGTTGAAAGTTTAAAATGGACTTGTCCATATCTCTATGGTTTAAAGTTCAAAATGGTGTTACTCTTTTAAAATACCAATGTAACAACTATCTTATAGCCATTTCCTCTTATATCGCAGAAAGGGCTTATGAACTAAGCAGCCAGAATACCTACCTTGAGGTCTTTCGGGTTTCGAGGTAAAGACTTCGGCTGTTTCTTGATTTTTGTGAAGTTGTACCTGATGCTGGAGTGGAATTTCTCCACTGGCCATTTGCACTCTGACCAAAGGTTCTTAAGTCTCCTGAGCCAAGAAAACTGTCTGAGGAAGGTTTATCTAAAGGAATAAAAGTTTGAATAAATTAAATACCTACTGTGGTTCTCCATTTGACTGCAACCATGTCCAACATTGAATTCTAAAGTAATGTGGCATATTACCATGTCTCTCATGGAAGATCCCAGTCTCAACTGCCAGTAAAGTCTGCAGTAAGGGAACTTCTACAAACTATAATTGATTCAGCCATACTAACCTGAAAATTGTTGAAGGAGCTGAATCCTGCCACAGCCATGTGCCTTATCTGCATCAATGTGACTCCGTGGTGTCCACCAAAAGTCAACATTTTACCCCAACTATATCTTGCAAGCACTCCCAGGCCTGGGCCTGAAAGAAGGTAGGCCAGACCAGTAAGAAAGCAGGTGGAGGGCCGAAAATTGTAATTCAAATGAACAACAGTTATTGCTTAATAAGCAGCTGGTATCTCCTGTTTTTAATTACCATGTTCACAACTCAGAGGCTCTCTCTAAGAGCAGAGATAACTTAATTGCTGCTTATTCTGGCCAGTTTATGGCAAGAATGACCCATCATGTTCATCTGGTTCTGATATGGTATCTCAGTCACTTAATGCCATAATCAACAGACATATCAATACTCCAATGCTTTCTGCTGCAATCAGGCTAAGAATTGTTTATTTTTTTTTGAATTTTCTGACTTGTGGCTTACAAGCAAGAATAATAAATTTTTTTTCAGTTGATCAGGATTATCAGAATTCAGGGTAAATAAGATATAAAAAAGCAGCAGTCAGGGTGATATTAGTACCAATTGATTCACCAGTGGATAAACCTAATCTAATAATTAAATTTACTTCCAAAACGAATGTCCCAAAAAATGTATACACACACTTAGAAGAATTATAAAGGCAATCTTTACTAAAATACATTTCTTTTTCAAAATTCAACTTAAAGTACATATACATTTTTTTTGACACCCTCTATTTCCAAGTTTCAGCTAAGAACAGAATAATTTCTATACCTTCCTCTCCTAATCATCAAGACTGGACAATTTACATGCCTTCAAAATAACTTCAGATGTTAGGCTATGGAACTCTGAGGAGCATCAGTGGAAAAACGAGAATGATAATTCTCTGCTTCCTACATTTTTTGGTCTGTCAATATCACATTGAAGATATCACATTGAAGCATATTACTATAGGACTTTTAACATTACATATTTATGTTATTTAAAATATTTAATGTAGCCTTTGATATTCTCTCCACAAAGTATGGCAGCTGACAAAAGTATAAGTTTTGTATTGTGTTATGTGTGTTTTTTCCAGTTGATCAGGATTATCAGGATTTAGGGTAAATATGATATATAAAAAAAGCAGCAGTCAGGGTGAGTGATATTAGTACCAGTTGATTCACCAGTGGGTAAACCTAATCTAATAATTTAATTTACTTTCAAAATGAATTACAACCTTTCTCCTTTGTAATCATTACGTATGCTTAGTATCTTTTACCATTACTTTCAAGATAGAGACATGAGGCTAATGAAAATGAGTCTCATTAAAGGACCAGAAAATTATCTTCAAATTAAATGCAAAGCAGTAACAATAGACATTTTTGTCTCTCATACTTTTTTGCTAAAATTTGATTAGGGAATGATCTCACTAGAGATGTCTACCAAAAAATGAAAATTACCCTGACAGGTGTGAAATTTGAGATTAAGGATAAATTAGAGTAGCCTTCTCAAGGGCATGTAAAAAATACCTCAGCTTTAAAATGCAAGGGAAAGGCACAGAGTCAAGCAGTCTGTTTAACCAGAATAAGGTGGTTTCATCTTTACTCAACAAAATCACTGAACAGTCCTCTACTGCTGATGTGACCAAACAAAGATACAGAGGGACCAACGATATAACAGACACTCATTTTTTGGTGATTTAGCCTGGTTTTCAGTCATCATTAAGAAATGAGACTGCCTATGCCACAAATAAGATTACTTATCATGTGTATATAAACACACATAAAACTATAAGAAAATATAACCAAATTTTAATTTTGGTTGTGTTCTAATAAAATCATGGGTATTTTCCTACTTTTCTCTATTAATTCTCTATAAGAATAGGCAGTATTTTTATGGGTATCTTAAAAAAAAAAAGTGTATAAGCCAATCACTTACTATGAAAGTAACCAACAGTATGTAGTTCCTGCTTTCCTTGGGATTTATTTAGTTATTATAAATAGCAGGATGCTTTAAATCATTTCATCTACTAAATGCCAGTTTGGCAACCTAATTTAACAAATTTTCTAAAGAGAAGACATTGATAAAGATTCTAAGCATGAGCAAAATCATTTCTTCTTTGTTTAGGGTTTAAAATGTTTTAATTTTCTATTCAATTATACTCTTAATCAAAGAGGTCCTGAAGTCTGACGAGCACTAAGTTATTAAAATGAAAATGCTGCATTTTTTCTGTTTTCTAAAAAAAATTTTTTAAATATATTTTATTGATTTTTTTATAGAGAGGAAGGGAGAGGGACAGAGAGTCAGAAACATCGATGAGAGAGAAACATCGATTCAGCTGCCTCCTGCACGTCCCCGACCAGGGATGTGCCCACAACCAAGGCACATGCCCTTGACCGGAATCGAACCTGGGACCCTTCAGTCTGCAGGCCGACACTCTATCCACTAAGCCAAACCGGTTAAGGCTAAAACATTTTTTAAATCAGTGTTTCTAATAGTCAAATCTTAAATGGATTAAGAAGTAGATTTTTAAAAGCTTGATATGCCTCTGTCACATGCCATTGAGAAGGCTTCTCATATATCAAGAGTCAGATCCAGTAAAGCAATAAACAGAAAGCTCCAGACCCTACATTCTAAAGTTTGGGATTTTCCTGTGTTTGTTTTCATTTTGGTGGAGGAAAGGATAGCAGGGTGAGAGAGGAGACAAATGCCAATACAGTCAGAATGAGAAAACTAAGGCAGGTAAACTTGGGACCCATGTCTAGCACAATTAAGAGGCAAAGCTCGAAGTGACTTGACTGATCACAGAAATCAATGTGGAGATTATCAGAAAATAATACATCCAAAGGAGATAGCAGAGACAAAATTCTGTAGGACATGCAATGAACTGAAATAAGTATGGCAAAGAAAGTTTTAAAAAGTACATGGTAAAAAGTAGATTTAAATGAAAAACTTTATTATAAGAAAAAGGCATATAGACCCTTGACATTCAAGATTTAAAATTCTGATTTTTAGAGAATGACCTTAGAGGTCTTGTAGATAAGGACAAATATAGGAAAAATGTAACTCTCAAAAATAATTTAACTGAGATAAAAGCCAGGAATTTGGCCAAATATCACTATAGTCAAGAACATGATGATTTGAGAGGAGTTAAGGATGAGTTGAATTATAGCAGACTGTGAATATAATTTTCCCTATAAAACTGTTTATTATTGAGCAATTATTTTTAACTAAAAGCAAATATTCTATCCAATGGTAAATCAGCATGTGAAATTACAAGGAAACACAAACTGAGTTCAAATGGAAATATTAATTATCTGATTTCATTATCCACTCAACTACCCTTCCCTTAGGATTAATAATGAGCTATCAAACCAGCTTTCAGGTTCTTTGCTCATCAGAAAGGATTTTTCAATAATAATGATGACTGCCCTGGCTGGTTTGGCTCAGTGCTTAGAGCATCAGTCCATGGACTGAAGGGTGGCAGGTTCGATTCTGGTCAACGGCAGGTACCTTGGTTGCAGGCTCCATCCCTGGCCCCAGTCAGGGCTCACGCGAGAGGCAGCCAGTTGATGTGTCTCTCTCACATTGATGTTCTCTCACATCGATGTTTCTCTGTCTTTCCCCCTCCCTTAAACTCTCTCTAAAAATCAATGGAAAAATATCCTCAGGTAAGGATTAACAAAAAAACAATAATAAGAACCATGACAACTGATTTTTCTATACAAATTATGCACATACTATGTGGAGACCATTTCCCATCCCAGTAGAGGAAATCCAGTGCCCAGGATAAATTACCACCCACCTAAATGACATTTAAATATAATATAAATCTAAAAGAGCATCATACTAACGTCTTTTTAGGGGAGGAGATCTCATCTTGCTGACAAAGAATCCTGAGGAAGCCAAATAACAACAATAATTATTACTTGCATTTCATACTTATCTGTTTATCCTTATAAAAATCTCACTGAGGCAGGTTCAGTGGTATTACTAATATTCCCATATTTGTGATAACATGGGGAGATTGAAGCAGGAGTGTAAAGACATAGGAAAACACTAATATCTTCTTGAGTCTGCCAAGAGACTAATGAGCAAAAATTCTTCGTTTCCCCAAGACAGAACCAGAAAATCTTTGGAAGTCCAAATCTTAGGAAGGGGAGATGCAAAGTCAGGCAGCCCAGGGGCTAGAATAGCCTAGAGAATGCTGACTTCTGTCATGGATCACAAGCTGAATAGGCAAGCCCTCAAATATGCAAGCATGGCTGTGGCAGGTGCTAGATAGAGACATGTACTTAACATTTCCTGCCCTGATGGAGGGATACACTTGGGCAGAAATAAATTTTCAGAATTCATGGTTTCAAGCAGAATTGAAATAGGCTAACTTTGAGCTTTAAATCAATAAAATAAATAACCTTTACATCACATAGACATATCTAAAACAAAACAAAACACTGTAGTGCTTTTTACAATGACATAATGAACAAGTAGGAGAATGGATTTCAAAACAACTTTTCCATTAAAAAATATTTAGTCGAGACTAGATCAGTTAAGTATCATAGCAACAACATATACATACACACATACACAGCTTACTAAAATGATGTGTTAGTGGAGAAAATACTATTTTGCTTTTGACAATGCTTTCACTTTTACAGATGGCAAACACAAATGATACACTAGGAAGAAATCTGAAAGGTATGTAGGTTTTGACTCCAAGTAATGTATCATACCTGAATAATAATTTGAACTATAAGCTGCACTTCTTGTAGAACATGTATAAGATCCGTCCAAACTTCCTTGCCTGGAAGGTAATATCTAAACAAAGCAGAAAAGATTTTTCTGAAATCATATTCTGACAATAAAATGTAGTACTTTATACTAGAAAAATATGTATCATTAAACAAGATTATGACCTATTTCAGAATTCAATACAGGGTAGGGCAAAAATAAGTTTATAGTTGTGAAGCACATGAAACACAGTTTATTTTTGTATTATTATTTATTAATTATTGTGTTATTTTCCATATGAACAATTGTAAACCTATTTTTGCCCATCCCTGTATGACTAATTATATTTATACACATTATAAATTAAACAACATACTACTAAGTAAGAAAAACATAGACAGTCTGATAAAATGAGGCTTCAAGGAGAAAAAACAGGCAAAAATATCTGTTATACAATTTAATTCAAAAACTGCTCATGAGAAGGTAATTATACATTTAGTATTTCCTGTTCTGAAAACCAGTGCATCATATATCAAAAAGGCAGACAGCCGAAACTGGTTTGGCTCAGTGGATAGAGCGTCGGCCTGCGGACTGAAAGGTCCCGGGTTTGATTCCGGTCAGGGGCATGTACCTGGATTGCGGGCACATCCCCAGTGGGAGATGTGCAGGAGGCAGCTGATCGATGTTTCTCTCTCATCGATGTTTCTGGCTCTCTATCTCTCTGAAGTCTGACGAGCTAGAAACATCGATGAGAGAGAAACACCGATCAGCTGCCTCCTGCACATCTCCCACTGGTACTGTTGTCAAAGAACTCATGCATAGTCTGGTTCTTGTCTTAACTTTAATATATCAAATAGAATTTCAAACATTAGAGTCACTGATTCTAAAGAGGTTATATATATGCTTGTTCTTTTGAGTTTGCTGTTAAACTAGATAAGATGAAAACTTAAGCCAAAATAATTCATTAACTGACAAAAGAAAATTATTTCTAACCTGATGGTCAGAAAGTGAAAGCTGGTCCTCTGGAAAACCTGTTTGCGAAAGGAGATGGGTTTTGAATATGGAGTTGTGGTTCACTAAAGTTACTTCTCCAGCATCCATTCTCATCCCATCAGCAATATCATCTGGAGAAAGAGTCCGGATTAGTTCAAGTCACATAATGCTTTAATAACTACTTTATTATACATCAGTCTTTTCATTTAATAAATGTAATTCCCAGCCCTGGCTGGGTGGCTCAGTTTGTTGGAGCATCAGTCCATAAACCAAAAGGTTACAGGTTCAATCCCCATTTGGGGCAATTACAAGAGGCAATTGATTGATTTTTATCTCTCACATTGATGTTTCTCTTTCTCTCCCTCCTTTTCTCTTTCTCTAAAAATCAATAAAAACATGTCCTTGGGTAAGGATGATAACAATAATAATTCCCAAAGACCAGCCATGTAATAAGACCTCTCCTTCATAAATAACCATTGGCAAGAAATCTCAAAACTGTCAAGAGTTAAATGCAAAATTTTAAAATAATGACATTTCCCCAAAATAAATTTTTGAATGTTTTAACTGTAGGAAAAATTTTAATATAATAAGAATGGAGCAAAATTTTACAATTCAAAAAACAAACACTAGTTAACAGTGGTTTATTTCTTGTTTTAATTCAAAAAAATTAATCGACCTAAAAATGTTCTGCCAAAAACATTTATTCATATGGCTCTTAACAGACATCAGCTCAATCACTGTAATATTATGGCAGAATCTTACTTTACAACCATTTTTTGAGAACTTTGTTACTTTCTTATAAAAGAGTAGAATAGAAACAAATAATAAAGGAACTCAATGACTTATAATATCAGCAATTAGAAAAAAGGGAAACAAATGACAGAATGTACACAAAGCTAAAGGGAAAAACAAAATAAGAGAGAAGACCAATGTGAATTTAAAAGGAGCAGATAGAATATCTTAAGATCTAACTGTATAGGTTTTCAGCCTACTCTTTTTTAAAAAATTTATTGATTTTAGAGCGACAAGTGGTAGGGCCACTTATTTATGCATTCACTAGTTGATTCCTCAAACCCACAACCTTAGTGTATTGGGATGATGCTTTAAATCAGAGGTGGGAAACGTGCAGCCCTTGGGCCCTATAAGGCCCCCGGAATCACTTGTTCTGATCCTGCCAAGGCATGAGGGGTGAGTTAATTCAATGTTTGACCAAATATAGCTGGCTAATTTTTAAGTTGATAATTCTGTATGGCCCGAGAATGTTATAAATATCCAAATGGCCCTTGGCAGAAAAAAGGTCCCCCACCCCTGCTCTACTAGTAAATGATGCTCTAACCAACTGAGCTACCCAGCCAGGGCTCTCAATCTATTCTTAATTTGGCTAGTAGTCTTTACCTTATATTGACCCCCCTTTACAGACATAAAGTACATTGAATAGTGGAAAATGTTCCAGTCACAACTGTCAGTGCCACTAGCTAAATGAAACTTAAAATTTACCTTAATCAAATTATTTATCATATAGAAGGAAATATAACAGTACTAAAGGGCAAGGACTCTGGAACCAGGCTGCCTGAGTTTAAATCCTGGCTCTGCCAGTTATAGTTGTGTGACCCTAGGCAAGTTTCTTAACCTCTGTGTGTAAGTTTCCTTGTCGATATAATGGGGATAACAGTGCCTATTTTGTAGGTACTATAGGTACCCTTGTAAGATGACTGTAAATTAAATAAATACATTTTAAGTAATTAGAAGAGGGCCTCGCACATAGTAAATGTCTGCTGGTGTGTATTATTTGGCTTTTTCAATACAATGAATGAGAAAATGCTTCCCAACAATGCTATAGACCAAGTCTCAACTAAAAGAAAATTGTTTGGTATACTGTATTACATAATTAGTATGAGATCTCCCTTAAAATTATTAAGCACAAAAATGCAAATATTAAAAACGTTAAGAAAACCCATTCTTCCAATTCAGCTTAACTAATCAGAGTAACTACAACCAGAAGGACTGAATGATCACTTCATAATCAGTCTTACCCATGTCAGGTCTTTTCACATCACTGACTTCAGCAGAAATACAAAGTCCTATAAAAGAAGGCAGAAAACAGAAAGGTTATATACTGCAATATCTCCTTCATTTAATTATAAAACAGGAAACCACTCAGAAGTGAAATTTGTGTTTTTAGTGGAGAAAAATAAAAGGTGATAAGGAGAGTTGAGTTGATGGGAAGAAAATGAGAACTATAACTAGCCTGAGGTCTTCCCAAACATTTCTACAATCTGTGCTATACTAAACAGCAATTATGGACTACCCACAGAATCACAGAATATTACATCAAGAAGCAAGTTAGGCGAGCCAACCCTTTGGACACTCATTTGCATTTGGTCATAGAGTTGACTAGTGACTACACTGAAATTCCCAACCCATTGCTCTTGCCATTATCTCATGCTAAACTATTTCATAAACAAGTGACAGATCTTGTGGTGGTCCTATTAAGACTTGTCTTCCATGTGCGTCTTATTCAGTAGCCAAACATAAAGCTGCTGATATTCTGAGGACAGTCAAGGAATGCCCCAGTCGTACTAAATACTTTCTCCCCATAGTTACTCAAACTGCTGGAATTCAAAGCTCTTTTGCTTATATGAAATTACTTTCTCCTCTGGTGGATCTAATTTTCCCAGAAAAGGAAGTTAAAAGCCTAACTGCTTGGGACTAGGTTAATAAGCATACCCTCAGCACACATACTTCTTGGCAGATTTCCAAGAGAAGACTAGGCATGATAGTCACACTTACATTACTCATAATCCTATCACCATTATTTTAAAAAAAGACTGAATACTTCATCAGCTACAGAGTGGTAACAGGTATTCTGTTATGCTATGATCACAACAAAGTGCACACACAAAGAAAGGCTGCTTCAGCAAACAAGAAATCAAAGAATTTGAGAGATTATGTTCAGAGAGGTTAAGTGACTTGCCTAAAATCACACAGATGGAGCAAAGGGAAAGCAAAAACCCAGGTATCCTGACTTAAAAGCAAATGTGATTTTCAACAAACATCACAAAACTTCTCATCCTTTAACATATCCTCAATTCAAGGAGTCATACACTTTAGCAAGATAAAAGCAAACCCTAGCTAATTCTAGGGAATCTATCCTGTTTTATGATTTTAATAATTAAAGCCCTAAATTTACATTTTCATACAAATATACCCAGCTTCTTCAGTGTGCTTATGGTACTTTCATTTTGCCACTTTGCAGAAGCACTGGGAGAAGGGACATTTAATCCAAGATTCAACATGAAATGCTGGATCTGGAACCTTTGGTGCCACTAAAATTCTTATAAGCATAAACATTTTTTCCTTTTTAGAAAAGTATTCTAATAACTCATTTCCTAGTTCACATTGGTCATTTATTTTACTCAAAGAACATAAATAGTTACAGATATTCATGTGAAGTCAATTTAGTAACTGAACAGAAGATAACTGGAAATCTGAGAGAAAAAAATGGCAAAGTCCTGACAGTAACAAAATGTAACAAGTATGACAAAACATTTATGTGCTTACATACATGCAAAGAGGTGATTACAAGAGAATGTTTAGAGCTATGAAGTTACTAGAAAGTATATACTGTAGGAACCACTGTACAATTAGCGTTAGCCAGGGCCAAGTTGTGGTTAGGACCATTTATGATATGAAAAGGGTGTGGAAGTAATCATGTGAATCACCCTACTTTGTGCTCTGGAAAACTCTGTATATGATACAGTTTGTACTATATCATCATGTTTTTGTTTTGGGTATTTTTACATGTATTCTCTCCCAATTAGACTCTTAACACCTTATACACTAAGAAACTTCTTGCACACACACACACATTTACTGTGCACCAATTACACACACACAAGATACTGAGGATAAGAAGAATAAGAACTGAGAAGAGCACTGCCTACTGGGGGAAGTAAGATCCATAAATGGATATTTACAGCAAGACAATAAAGCTAATGCAATTGGTAGATGTGGGAGTCAGGTAAAGGAAAGGCTTGCAAGCAGTAGTTAAGAGTTACATCATCTTAGCCTGAAGTAGCAGAACCTGTTTTTTAATCCATTTGCTTCTCTAGATTCAACTCAAAAGATGGGTGATATGAAGACCACATTAATTGTAATCAGATAAAAATGAATGACGTTTCCAAAATAGAACTAAAGCCCTAGCCGGTTGGGATAATTAATTGTAATTAGGTAAAAAAATGAATGAGGTTTCCAAACTGGAACTAGAGCCCTAGCCGGTTCAGCTCACTGGATAGAGCTTCGGCCTTTGGACAGAAGGGTCCCGGGGTCAATTCCGGTCAAGGGCAGGTACCTTGGTTGCAGGCTCCTCCCCTGCCTGGGCCCAGGTCAGGGTGTGTGCAGGAGGCAACCAAATGATGTGTTTCTCTCACATGGATGTCTTCCCCTCTCTCTTCCACTCTCTTTAAAAGATCAATGGAAAAATATCCACAGATGAAGATTTTTTAAAAAAAGATTTTTTAAACATACACACACAAAAAGAAATGGCACTGGAGGGGGGCGGGTAAGGAAGAAAATCTCTAAATTGGAAGAAAGTGAAGGAATCATGCTTAAAGAGATGCTTAAAGTTTCACTGTAAATGTAATTTCCAATGTAGTGTAATTTACCTTTCAATAGGCGTCCTTAACACAAATTATCTTTATAAAGAGTAAAGGTCCGGCCTATTCCATCCACAATACCCAATTAGAACAGGAACCCCAAGTCAAATGGTTGGTGGGCTCTAGAGGGTTTCACAGACGTTTTGTAAGAATCACCACCACCCCGATTACAGTGAGCGTAGCAAACGCGAAGTGCCTTTAACAAGGCTGAGCGGAGAGCGATAAAGGAGCAAGTTACTGCCAACAAGATAGTGCCAATGCTGCAGAGGCGGCGATAACCCGAAATCACCAAGCTCGGGAGGAGCTGGGAGCGCGGCCAGAAAGCCCACGGCAGGGGGCACCGGGAGAGGCGGTTCGGCGAATTACCGGGAGGCGATGAGCCGGTTAGGCAAAGGCGGGTGGG